CTAGCAAAGCCACCACATTCAATAAAAGTCTTAAGTGGACACAGAATGACAGTTGCTCAACCCAAAAACACAAACACATTTTTCAGAGGCACTGCATCAGCACTATTCTTTCTGAACATAAATACACACATCCCAACCACACTGTCACGAGGAAAGACAACAAACCATGTTTTTATAGTAAAATGACATGCATATTACTGCTGTAGTATTAACATTCAATGCACACAAGCAAATTATTGTTAAGTTTGCAATACTACCTCACAATTCAATACGCTCAAATTTTGACCTTTCCAGTATGATGAACGAACCAAAGTAATATTCTGCATAATTTGTTAACACCCGTTGAGAGATTATTTGACAAATATGTGATATATATTTTACAAGCTATTGACGTCTTTCCATGGTTGAAACACTGATTCAGGGATTACATGAGACATATTACAAAAGTTGTCCTGTATCTTTTAACATACCTTATAATGTTCAATCATGTTTATTTTATGCTGCAACATAAATAGAAAGATGATCTGTTTACGTGTGCTCTGCATTGACACTTCGATTGAACATTTAAAGTCATCATGAAATCCCCCCTTTACTTTGTTAGCGCACAGTATTCTTGTGGTGAACAATTAATCCGTGAAAGTTAGAAAAAAACATTTGTTTGTCTTGGTAATTTTTCCACGTTTCCACGATTCCTAGCTTCTGCTCCGGAATAGAGTGGTGCAGATATGACTTCACTTTGTTGGCCAATGCTTTTCCCTTGAGAATAAGTAATAACCCATTTGGTTTTTTCCATAGGCTTTTGCATTGTCGCTAAAAACAAGCTAGTTTATGATACTTACACGTTTTGTTCATAATTTTCACAAATGAATTTTGAAGCCTAAATGCAGTCACCAGAAGTAAAAAGCAAAGACTATGAATGAACTAGGGTACATCACGGTCCCACGATTTCGTCATCGCCATCATCACTAATCTTCTGACAACTCTTTCGGTTATCTTAAAGACTTTTCCCCAGAAAGTTTGAGTTAGAATAGTTTATAAGAGCACAATTATAAGCATAACAAGGCTGTAAAAGTGAACTGAGCTGTTCGGCACGATGGCGTTTAATCTCTTCGATCGCCTCCGTAGTCACATTTAGCCAATTGTTAGCAACCACCCGGGGTGATCCTGAGGTATTTTATGTCACGGAATAAAACGTTCACTACATTACTTATTTCAGCCATTTAACAAAAAAACCCACTGACTAAATTGGGACGATGGAACCAGAAGTGCTAAAATGCTAACTCACTTCAACGTTTTGGCCAACAAAGTGATGTCATATCTGCACCACTCTATATCCTTAACCAATTTCCTCCAACCATCAGTCTGCTATGAGCAAGGGATTGAGATGAGGTGTGCTAAAGTAAAAGCCCTATCAATATTCTGTTTTACTAGGAAATAAATCACACTGAAGTAAAGTCGGTAGCAACTCGTGGTTCACAGGGACTTTAAAGAGTGCCAAAATTATTCATTGTTTGAATTTTATTATAAAATTGACAGAATATAAAAGCTGAGACTTTGTTTCAAAAGTAACAGTGCAGGTATGACGTCAGAACCCGGAAGTCTAATTCACAGCTGGTTCCTTCGAGATTTTCCAGTGCCTGGGGTTTTATAATGGGGGTTTTCAATTCATAAGTAAAATGTTTTGACGATACTTTAACGTTTTTTCGACAACATACACTGAACACACTCAACACTGTCTTGTTTAGTTACCTATTAGAAACATATGTTTCCAAAATTAAACAAAACTAATTTGCATTTTCAATATGGGTGCGTGAGTAATTTACCTTGAAGAACCAAGCGTCGTCAAAGTATCGTCAAGTGTTTACCACAGGCTTTATTTTACCCATAAATTGAAAACCCTTAAAAAACTTAGGAAAACCCCAAAAAACAGGAAAATTTCTAAGGAACCAGCAGTGAGTTAGACTTCCGGGTTCTGATGTCATGCCTGCACCACTCCATTGAGATTTATTGGATGGGAGGCACACACGATACAAAGTTTCGTTCATTAATCAACTGTAAACTGTTAACAGCATAGGGATTTAGTAATTGATTAAAATCAAGATTTATGCGTTGTTTGTAATATCAATGCATGTTTTTACCTATGTGTATTGTTGATTTATTGAATGAATGCTGTATGACTGTTTGATATTTCATTTTATTTGTTTGTTCTTGTTACCGGCCTGGGGACTGCAGACGAAAAGTAGTATTTGTTTACTAATTCTGGCATATTTACATGTTGTATCCTACAACAACGTTCATCAATATGCATGGTCCCTATCAAATAAACTAATAAAACTAAAACTAAGAAATTGCTATTTTCCCCAGTCCTGTTATGAGGCTTTGTAAGATCTTGTGGGACAAAAGCACAAACAGCAGATGAGCTGAAGGACTGCACTTCTCCCGAGTGAGCTTTGTTGTAGCTTGTACTCAGCTAACTATCACCACGGCAGGAATGCATTGACGTCCACAGTAGAGTTCCTGTACTCAACACTTCAAATGATCAGAAGAGCATAGAAATACACCAAAAAAAGATACGATCCTTCCCAAAGAGGAGGATAAAAGAAAGCTGGACAGCAATCAGAAAGGGAAAACAATTGGAAAGAAATTTACAGATTAAAAAAAGTGGAGAATGGAATCAGTCAGGGGACAGTAATTGCTGTCATTCTGGTTCTATAAATTGCTGCTGATATGTCACTTGGAGCTTTAGAACATAGTGTAACTTACTCCCCCCTACCTCCTCCCCTCTCTCAGTGCTAATCACACGGGGGAGAAACCTCGGAGACCAGGTCCTGTAGCAATGCGGAACATTCAGGTTCGGAGGCTCCCATGCCTCAACATGCTTTATGGAACTTTAACAACTCTAGTTCTCCTTAAAGATTCACTGACTTGGTAGTTTGGTCAAGTTCATTTAAGGAGAAGAAGACATCTATGGGGGAGTATTTGTGTATACAACAGCATTTTCCTGTAATTTCAGAGTGCGCTTTCCACATCAGGTCAAGCCCTCGCCTCAGGAGTCAAGAACACCTCGAGTGTGACTAACAAGTTTCATAATAGACAGTATTTTTGGTCTAAACAGTAACTACTTTCGAGGAGGTCGCAAAATGCTGCGGGTGAACAATTTGATAGTACTTTCTCAATGAGAGACTTTAAATTCTGTGGAACACAAACTAGATTTTGAAAGACTTTCAATGCATAGACAAAAAAAACAACAACTAAAAAAACATATTTTCAAAATACCTCACAGATTAAACTTAAGCAAGTCATTCTGGTTTAGATTAAAATATTAATAACACGTAAATTATGTAAATTACACATTTTTGGGTGATTGTGACTATCCATTTGACATTTTGAGCCTATAGGACAAGGTACATAAATAATCTGTACTGTACATGTCAAGCATTCGCCAATCAATCACAAAAACCTTAGAATATGCACTATTCTAAAAGTCCATCTTAGACCAGACCAAACAAACTAGCTCTATGAAAAAAAGACATCTCACAATACACTGAACATCGAGTTCCTTTATTCTCGCTCTCATACTCACACTATTACCTGTTTTGAACAGCTGTCATTACTCAGGAGTAAAGCTCACTGCTGGCTTTTAGTGTGCTGATCTCAATGATTACATTTATAAAACCTGCCATCAGTCCTCCATAGTCATATATTTCTAGACATGAATCATGGATTAGTGGTCATTGAGGGTTGAGAAGCTTATTGTAAAGTGTAATCTTTATTTGTAATATTATTTACTTTTCTATTCAGGTTATAGAACACTTTTATGATACTATTTAAATAGATTCATTCATTCATTTTTCAAGATTAATTTTTCATCTTACAAATACAATTTTGGTAACAGTTTATAGGGTCTGATTCTCACTATTTACTTGCTGCTGTTTATTAGTAGGCTACTTTTAGTTTTTTTTTTACTTTTGTTCTGCATGACCCTATTCTACATCCCTTAATCCTACCCAATTCCTTAAACTACATTACTAACTATTAATAAACAGTAATTAGGAGATTATTGAGGCAAAAGTTTGAAATAGTTAGTTCATAGTGATAATTGGACATTAAACTAAAGTGTGACCAATACTTGTAGCTATTCTGATTAACAACTGCTATAGTAACAACTATAGTCACAGGTATCAAATAAAGCTGGAACATATAAAAGTAGAACCTATTTGGGGAAATTTGGATTATATAACTGCTGCATCTGTTTTACATAGTCGGAAGGTATATTTACATGGTCAACACAATATCACAATCCATACAATTATAATTATTATATGAAACATTTCATAGGAAATCTAAAATACATGTGGGTGATACATTCTGAAATATTCCAAACATGTTTCTAAATAAAAGCATTTACTAGCTGTATAATAAAAATTACAGTGCAACAGAATATGTTTAATAGTCAAAACAACTTGACGTGAGGCAAAATTCATAGTCGGAAGATAGTCAACAAAGTGGAACAGTTAACTAACATAGTAACTAAGTAACTAATAAGGTGGTCACATGTTCCAATAACGTTCCATTAGTTAACATGAACAGTGAAAAATACTTTTAAAACGTTCATTAATATTAGTAAGTTCATTTCAAACATGTATTACAATCAAGTTCCATCTGTTGGCCTATTCAATGCACCTGAGCTAAAATTAAATAACAACGAACGAACCGTTGTATAATTATTAACTAAAGTAAAACAAATGTATAAACAGTGAAATAAATGTATTGTTCATTGTTAGTTAGTTAATCAATTAATTATACATTATAGAACAAGAATCTAATGATTCTAATCACTCATTGTTGGCTTACATTGATTTAAGAAATGAGTCATGGTAAAATAAAAGTGGCTAAAGGAATGTTACTTTACAGGTTTCAATATATCTATTTCTGACGTGCGTGTAGGCGATAGTAGTCGTACAGTAGTCGACATTATTAAACCACATTTGCACTTTTACCTCGTCCTCCCGATCGTTCTTGAAACATAGACACGCTGCTCGTTTTTTGAAGCCCTCTCCGTCATATGTCCTTGTCTGATTTGGCTTGAATTTCATCATGTGGGGTTTTCTCCGAACAAAACAAGAATACAAGTGTTCTCGGTTGCCTAATTGTTGGATCGTACGCTCAACGCAACTGCCTTTCAGGCCAAGAGCTGAAAGTCGTCCCAGATTTTCCAGGCTGATCATGCAGTTTGCATTTATAAGACGTGCCTCATGTTGAAGACATTATTCCTCTCTGGACAGCGGAGATTGTAAGTTGGGATGTTCTCATCTTGACCATGGTGTCTGGTTGGTGCTGTGTGTGTGAAGTGTGAACACTCCTCTGCTGCGGCTCTTCGGTTCTGCGCAGTCGCCTTAAATCAGCTGCGTTACAAACCCAAGATGTCATCAACAGATAGGCGTTTCCCTTATTGGAAATATGAATGAGACATCCCCTCAGCCACCGGAGCAAGGGGGAAATTGATTCACCGACGCATGAAGCGGGTAATTGAACTTGGCTGCATCGCTATAAATTTGATACAATGGTCAGTTATTGATTTAAAGTAGCAGAGACAAAAGCAACACTGCAGCTATAACTGAGATGGGGGTGGTGTGTTGTTTTGGCGCCATCTGCTGGTACTCGAGTATTAAGAGGCATAGTTCACACAAAAATAAAAATTGTAATTAATCATAATAATTTACTCATCCTAATGTTGTTCCAAACCTGTATGAGTTTGTTTCTTCTGTTGAACACAAAAGAAGATATTTTAAAGAATGTTGGTGTCAGTTGACGTCATCCATTGAATTCAGTAGGCCTAACGTTAGGGTTTTTTTTTGGCGTCTTACTGTCACCAACATTTTTAAAACTATCTTCTTTTGTGTTCAACAGAAGAAACAAACTCACAAAGGTTTGTTTGGAACAACATTAGAAAGTAAATGATGACAGCATTTCCATTTTTAGATGAACTATGTAATGGAATAATTTTAAGAGTTAACCAGACAAACTAATTATTATTTTAAGTCGGATCTTTTTGATGATGAACCGTTAACATTAGCAGCTAGCTAGCTGAACCCGTCCGAAATGTTCTTGAATAAACGACTTTTTTTTTTTTTTGACAGGTTACAAGAGTGTCGAGGTCTATGTCGACAAATCGAGGATTTGACTTATGGAAGTAAAAGAACATTACTTGAAATGAAATGTATAAAATGTAGCCTACTGGAAACGTTTAATTACCTACCGTTTTATCACCACATAGCCTATACTTTGAAGTCAACAGATGTAAGTTAGTTTTAGAATTGTCTTAACAACTTTATATTTATGTTCTAAGAGACTGCCATACCCGTATGTCAGACGCAGCCTGATCGTCGAAGCGTTTGATCGTTTCCTTGAATCCAATTTCAATTCTATGAAAAGAACCGATTCATAGAAATGAGTCGGAATTCGCATTACTAACAACAAAAGAGCAGTTCTGTGAAACTGCATGGGAAACCAACTTAAATGTTTAGTCCGTAATTCCTTCATTATTAACAATTAATATAATTACATAACAATTAATAGAATTTAATGATGATGATAAACACCCATCTTTTGTACTTACAAAATCCTTTAAAAATGTACTTGGGATTTCTATAAATCTGTAATTGATTGCTCCAGGTTATTTTCGAGTAATGATCAACTTCAACATTTTCTTATGAAAGCCTACTGAAAGGTAGGACAGCATAAGAAAACAAAAAAACAAATGAGCAGTTAACCTGCTTGTCATTCTCAAAACTGTAATAAAATCACCACATAAATATTTCTTATTAATCAACAGATTTTATTTACAGAAAGAACAGAAATATGTGTGTGGACTGTTGTCATCACATTTTATAAAGTAGAATTGTGTCCCCTTTCTATAGAAAGCAGGAATTTACAAACAGATTTGAAGTTGACATTTTAACCAAAGACCAATCGAGGAAATTGAGTCAAAGCATTTATTGATCTTTTGCAATGTTTCTGCAAACATTCCCACCCCTCATCCCTTTACTAAAATCATACTATTTATCATTGATTCATCTCCAGTCCCCTGCAACCTTGGCGTTTCAAAATAAATGCTGAAGGGAAGAAACAGACCAATGAATCTCAATGCACTGGACTGTGATGGACACAAGAATAAAAGCACGTAATGGAGTTTCAAGAGTGCAATTAGTACAGCAATGGCAAGATAGGTAAAACAAACCACTAAAAACCAAATATGATAACAGAATTGTTATACTAAAGCATTATTATGCAAAATCTCCCTTCTCTCTAGGCTCTACCTTACCCATAGTCCAGAACTAATTCTACATAAGAGGTTTACATCTTCAACAGTTTCTGTGATGGTGGGAAAACTTTTCATTTGAACCATTTCCTAGGTGAAATTGCAGTTTGCATGTGATTTCAATCTTGTGTCTCTTTTTCGTTTTAAAGGACCTATACTTTTTTGCTAGGTTTTTTTCTAAGAGGGTAGGTCTGACAAGTGTTCAAAACAGGGACTAGTCTGCTGCTCCTCATTAACAAATAGCAATGAGAAGGAAAAAAAAGGGTTAAAAGAAATGTAAAAAGTTGCCCCACCCCCCCAAAAAAATGCAATGGGAGACAAAATGACAGTCAGTTTTAATGCACGCTTCATAGCAGAAGTCTGTGGCTACCTCCCCAACCACTGTAAAAGAAAGCCGTATGAGTAGATCATCTGCCCATGCATCAAGAACAGCAGTGAATCAGGACAAAGACGTGTTGTTGTTTTTTTGTACTAATGTGCATTTAAATCACAAATTGTTAATATATTCTTTTCAGTTTATCATAATTTTTTTTTTGTTTCCTAAGACTGTGTCCTTTACATGAAAATGAATAGGTCTTGGCAGAACATGGAGTTGTTCACTCTTGACTTCCATTTTTTTTTCTCTTTTGTGCCCCCAAGCATTTCTAGACTTCAATATTGTTCCCGGCATAAAGCCTGGTCCATGTTCGAGCTGAAAAAGAAACAAATGCAGAGTTAATACACCCCCAAATGCTTTCTCACACTATGTAGAGATAAATTACTTGCTATCTTCAGCAGAAAACTGACTACAACTACAGTTGTGTGTATAAAAAGGGTGTGGATTTTCTCTAATTAGCAATAGCCAAACTATGTACTTAATATGTACTAAAGACAGTACATGAAAACAACTATTCTGGATTATCCTTTGCGACAACGCTTATCAATAGCAGCTGGGAGAGCCAGGATTAACAGCGTGCCGTCAAGGCCAATAGCCTCAAGGCTAAAATTAAGCTGCGTTTCCCGCCTCCAAAGAATGGCTGAAAACTACATAAAAAGAGAAATACTTATTCTGTTGCACCTGCTTCCTATCGATTTGTTCACATCACATTTCTTAAGAAAGAAGGAGCATTTCTATTAATTTCGCAAGAAATTATGTGCTCTACTGAGGTTTAAAAGATCTCTCCTGTCTCATCCTTTCAACAAGAGCAACAGAGGGAGCTCATGGACAGCAAACGGGAGTTATACGTGTTATTAACGAGAGAGTAATTTTTAAAAAGTTCAAGTCCGGTGTCAACAAAGGCACAGGGAAGAGACAGATGAAACATAAAAAAATAAATAAATACACAATTAAATCATCATATATGTATTTTCTATATTCATATGTGTATTTAGTTTCACAAAGGTTACCATAAGCAGCCTTTAGCATCACATATAAATATATTTCTGCCTCATAAAGTGATCAGAATCCCCATCGGATCACAACCGGTTTGAACTGAAAATTGTTTTAAATGTTGAGGTTAGCTGGTAACCTGATATGAAAACAGCAGCGCTGACACTCTCTTGACACCACATTTGTTCATGATCACTCCTCAAGCCCCAGTTGGACCGATTACTCAGTGGGCCAAAAACCCAGGCTGCTGGCCTGAGGAAGCCCAGATGAGGCTCAATTAAGCCTCAGAAGTGACAGTGGAAACGCGACTTGCCCTGGCACGCACTAGCACGCTCGCTTTTGTCCCAAGGCTAATGAAGTAGTGCCCTTGGCCTCGTAGCCCTCAATCGGGTAATGGGGTTTATACGACCCCAATCGACTTTTACTTAATAAAAAAAAAAACGTTCCCTTCATCTCAGCGGAATAAGATTTTGTGACTTTTTATAAAAAACTGGGGTTGATTCGGTTGTTCTGAAGGTATGTAAAAAAAATGTTTACACTTCTGGTCTTCGGGGTCAATATGACCCCACATTGAATTGAATGGGAAATGTGAAAAAATAAACTAAATATATTTTCTTCATGTGTCAAAAAAAAAAAAAAATCTGGCATAAATCTGAAATTTTTACACAGAAATGAAGGCCTAGAACTAGAGCAAAAATGCAATGTATCATAAAAATAATATTTCATATGCAAGGTAATGGTGTAGTTGAGGAATTGTGTGGTATATGGATACAAAAGTACTTTATATCTCCAAAAACACTGCATTAATGAATAGATGTGAAGTAAACAAAAAAAATGATATATTATTTGTATGATTAAAAATGTATATTTTTTGTACAATTACTCAATCAATTGTAGGGGTCATATAGACCCCGAAGCCCAGAACAGGATACGAAGACCATTTGAAGGTTAAAGCTCCCAGAAAAACCTCTGATTTAAATCAATGTAGAACAAGTGGATAAATAAACATCAGCAATATCCATTCTTCATTGAACCATCCCTTTAAACGCATTTACCCAGCACCCACCTGTCTCTATGGCTTGAGCTTCGTTAGACTTCCACTGCTCCGCGACATCATTTGCTAGAGGATCATCAGGGTTGGGTGCACTTAGTAATGCCTGGATTGATAGCAGCACTGTGCGGATCTGCAAGGCTGGAGACCACTTATCTGTGTGGCATCAGGCCATGGAGAGAGATCAACAAGAGAAAGAGCATTAGGAGAAAAGTAGCTGCTAGCTTTCATATGCGCTAAGTCTAGGCATGTACACTTGTGCAAAGGGTTTATACTCTATGGGGTCAAAAGTGTAATCTGCGATCCTCAATCTTCCTAGAGATTAAACGGGCACATCTTTCACAGCATGTACATGTCAGGTAAGGGAGGTATAACATTTAATAGACTCAAACTGCCATTGCTCTGAGGTAAAGATAAAAAAGTCCTTTTCAGAAATCATAACTTATTCATTTTTCTCCCATACGCTCTAGGGACAAGATCCTAATGTCCCTTATTTTAATAGTACATTTTATCGCCTTCCTTTCTTCACCTAAAAGGAAAGACATCCTTTAACATTTCTAATGTCCAACATTTCGCCTGTATTAGCAAAGACTTATTACTTAAGACATATTTTGAATAAAAATATTAAATATGTTCGTATGTATATGTTTATTTTTGGCAATCTTCTGCTTCTGCTCTCTCTCTCTCTTTATGGGCATCAGATGCAAACATAAACAATCATATGACAATTAATGATAAATATTTGTAATATCTAACATTAATATATAAATTCAAATACATTAATTGACAATAAGCCATTACTCCAATCTTCAGTGTCACATGATCCTTCAGAAATCATTATAATATGCTAATCTGGTGCTCTGCTCAAGAAACATTTCTTATTATTATCATCAATGTTGAAAACATTTGTGCTGCTTAATATCTGTTGAAACCATGATACTGGGGCTGGGACAATACAGGTAGACAACAACAGTGATAATTTTAACTATTGCATCACATAAATAATGATACTATGAGGTTGAAAAGACAACTTTCATGAGGTTCATGACAACTCTCTCCAGGTCAGTGGCAGCGCCGACACAGCTTTGAATGTTGCGATGAGATTTGGTCAAATTTAAAGACGAATTGAAAGATTGCGTGGGTGTTTGAATCGAGATCACAGAATCGTGCAGCTCTATTTTATCTCTCTCTCAGCATATAAGTAGAGCGAGGGCTTTTCAGTCTCACATCTCTTCCAAGCGTCCACTTGGGATATTACGTCACTCAACACTCACAGATAACGACACATTTCATCCTCTGTTGGAACGAAAGTGGCTAACTCAACCTCATCTACAAGCAAAGGCAAAAATAAAGCAATTGAATTTGAATCAATATCGATTCTGGAATAAAAAAATTGATTTTAGAATTGTAAAAAAAAAAAGAAAAGCGTTAGCTAGGTGAATTGATTTTTTTCTCCCAGCCCTACATGTTACCAAAGGGGTAATCCATCGACTGGAAGTTGAAGCCGGCCGGGTGCCGCCATCTTGTAGCAGAACTTCACTTGAGTTAGCATTTCCATTGACTCCCATTCATTTTGGCGTCACTTTGACAGCGAATAACTTAACATCTGAGGCGTTTGAAGACTCCATTTGTCCATTATTTATTTCTAAAGAAACACGACAATGTATAAAATGCTCCATTACCTTGTAGCTTATGTTATGGCCCCGTAGAGGCAGTTTTTTGTAAAAGTAGGCTAACGATTGTGTCATAGACATGCGCGTCTCTGTTGCACAGTAGAGAGATTACCGTATGGGCAGGAGGAGAAGCTTGCGGGCAATCGGGGAAACGTGGTGGCAAAATGACAAAATAATTAATCAGAATACCTAGCAAAAGTTTCTTCGGCTCCTAGCTCATCCTACACGCACTCTCCGCCTCTGCAAGTTTCGGAAGGCAATGATTCAGATTTCTCATGCCACAGCCACTAGGAGACAGACGGGTTGCTCACGTCACATCTACGTCGTCAAGTTCTATTTGAGTCGGTTTGAGTCTGCGCGTCAGGAACAGAAGTCCTACAAAAATCACTAAAAATGGGGCTTCACTTGTCTCAATTGAGTTCCAATGAGACGGCTCTGTCCACTTCATATACTGTCTATGCATGATACATACGTTTTACAATTATTTGATGAATACAAATTGGCGCTTACGATTTTTCTGAACCCCTTGACACATTTTCAGGATTCTTTTGAAATAGAAATCTTTTGTAACATTGTAAATGTATTTGCTGTCACTTTTGGTCAATGTGATACATCCTTGCTGAATAAAAATTAAATATGCATCATGCTATGTTAGAAAAAGGCCCTTCAGAATGAATAAATGATAACTGACTAATGGAAAATCTAGCGATCATCTTAGATTAATTTCAAAGTATAAATTTTGCTATTAAAAAACAATGGCATTCAATTACAACAGAATTAAAGCATTAACAATTCTTAAATCACGATTAATTTAACAAATAATTTATCGTAGGGTAGGGTCGGGTTTTGTTTACATCCATTTTAATGATTGTTTTTGGTATTTATTATTTTTTGTTAACAGTGACTGAGAGTCCATTGCTTTTATTGTTTTTTGGTTGATTTGTTCATTTATGGTGGATATTTAAAATGTTTTCCATTTTCAGTGTTAAATAGTGTTAAGAAATAAAAGTTTATTGATTCTTGAACAGGTGTACCTGCATTATTATGCCATTATCATTATCAGAACGACAATATTATCGTTTATCGCAATAATTTCTTGGACAATTTATCGTCCAGCAAAATGTATCATGACAGGACTAGTCACGATGAGTAAAATCAGTATAATCTGAAAGTTTTAGAAGATGGAATAAAATGCTCTCTTACCTTTCAAAATATCTAGACATATTCTTCCCAGCTTGTCTACATTAGGGTGATATATTTTGGTCATGAAGCGTACTTTCGGAGCTGCCATGGGATATTCTTCAGGAAGAAAGAGTTCAAGTTTAAAAGTTCCCCCCTCAAAGGGGGAGTCCTGAGGTCCGGCGATGACCACGTGGAAGTAGCGAGCGTTCCCCTCATCTGGCTCTGCCTTTATACCTGGCACCGGCTCTGCCAACAAACGCTGTGTTTCCTACACACACATGGAAACAAGATCAATTAGGCTGGCTGGAACATAAGGCATCTCTACACACTCAGCTGATTAGCCAACGCACTGGCAGTGAGACGGTTGAGTACATGGGAGTAAACAAAACAGTAGAAAGAGCCAACATGATGAACACAGTGACACAATTTTGTCTTTGAAAAAACTATCATTTCACCTTGTTACCTTTCACAATTGCTATGTAACAAAAGACAAATTGTCCTGCATCAACAACATTCCAAAGGCAAACAAACCTGTACAGTGATCCATGGACTGACAGGTCATGAATAATTTTAGGTTAATAATTTTATGAATACTTTTTAATAAGATATTGGTATGGCCAGGCCCACATACACTTTCAGAACTGATTTTAGGGTCAGTTTGAACATGGTAAAATGCAAGTCCTTCATTCTTATTTGTAGACAAATTTCAAATAAACGCTATTTTTTTGGACGTTCTGTTAAATCCTGAAAAAAGATCATAACTGTTTAACATTGATAAAAATAAGAAATGTTTCTTATATCAGAAAATTAGAAATTATTTCTGAAGGATTGTGACACTTCCGCTTTGTCAAAGGAATAAATTACATCTTAAATGTAATTATTTCACAATAATAATGCTTTTACTGTATTTTGATCATAAAAATGCAGTGCGCATAAGAGACTTCTTTCAAAACATGTTTTTTTAAGAAAACTTTACTGACTCCAAACTTTGGTATGCACAACTATGTTAACCACGAAAAATAGGAAAAGACGTACATTTCAACAAAGTCACATTTACATTTATGCATTTGGCAGACGCTTTTATCCAAAGCAACTAACATTGCATTTCAAGGTACACATTTACATTCTTATCAGTTCTTGCATTCCCTGGGAATCGAACCCATGACCTTGGCATTGTGAGCGCCTACGCTTCACTGTTTGAACTACAGGAAGCGGTAGTTACAAGTGTGCTTAAATATAGTAACCAATGTCAGAACTACAATATTTACCAATAATACAGTACCCTTAACCTTCAGTAGGGCAGAGGACGATCTTACATCACCACAAATGTTACTGGTTAGGCACTATAAATATTTTCAGTAAACACTCTCTTAGTTTGCACCACATTCGAAAAGACAGTATCTTTCCATTTTAATATCAAGCATGGTTTTATATATTTTTATTCCATGATCAGTCTTGATGCAGTACTGTATCAGCATCTTGCACTGCTCAATGACATTTAACATGGAGTCATATCTCAAAATACAACCCATGTTCCAGAAACGTTTTCTTCTAAAGCCAAGACTACAACAAGGGTTAAACTGACAACCATTACAAGACAATCAAGACAGACACTTTGCATTCAGTTAGAGAGAAAAAGGGCTGAGTCTGACCCTGACAGTCCTTATGAAACACACACCCATATGACTAATGAGAATCTGATATCACCTGTGGAATGCTTGAGTCTGGAGAGACGTTGTTCATCTGAGAACTGCTGTACTATGCTGCACTCTACACCTTATAGATTGACTGTTTGACATCTGAGAACTCTTTCAAAAAATGGATATTACAATCTCAGTGTTATAAACCTATGTTCAAAAGCTACGGCAAATGTTCTGCAACCTAGTTCAAAAAAGGAGGGTTTTTGGGCCATATGATAATGAACCTGTCAAACAAGACTCTTCTAGTACTTCCAGTATTTCAACTGAACAAATCTACTGGTTAATAAAAGCTGACCTATACAATTAAAAAAAATCAACCAAGAAAGATCTAATGTAAATTACTCTTCAAACGTTTGGGTTTTGGACTTTTTTAATGTTTCTGAAATTTTTATTTAAAATAGCTTCTATTTAAATAGATCTTAAAATGTTAGTTTTCCTGTGATGACAAAGCTGAATTTTCAGCATTAAGTTTTCAGTGACACATGATCCTTCAGAAATCATTCTAATATGTTGATTTACTGCTCAAGAATAATTTATCATCAAACAAGTTTTCAGGAATCTTTGATGAATAGAAAGTTCAAAAGAACAACATTTGATTGAAATAAAAATATTTTGATATATTATAAATCTTACACACTATAGCACAATCATGTAAGAAATAATGTGCATTAATCAATTAATGTGACGATCCAGAGGGGGTTTACTGTGTGATAATGACTCTCAAACTGTTTATCATCGCATTTATTACATTACTTTGATCCTTTAACCTAGTATATACATTGTGCTCAAAATGAAATTCCTCGCATGTTTCAGATATCCTACAGACAAAACCATGCAGAGCAAACACAGACAAGAGAGGGGCTCCCTGTCATGGTCACATGCTAGGGGAACAGGCCATCAAGGATGCATTCCCATCCCTCCCACTCCCATCAGTTCATTTCACACGCAAACCGACTGTTTCAATGTCCTATTCAGAGGACGGTGAAAATAAAAGAAAGTTTCCTCCCTGTGGGCAAACATTCATATAAGAATTAATTACCGGACAACAGCAGAAGTGGCCAACGCAAAGCGAGAAACCTTCTTGATAACGTACACAAAAGATTAATGAGGGACTAATCTATTTAATCTAAATAAAATGAGGAAACATGCATTCAGACTCATGGTAGAACTTTATTTTACTTTTACAGCCCTGTTCTGCATTTATAGGATGTACGTATTACAATAACTGGGTAATAACTAGGTAGGTACTAAACCTGAAACTATTGTATTTCCCAGTACTTTAAGTACACTGATAAATGTTAGTGCACGTACTGTACAATAAAATGAAACCAGACTCAGAGTTGTGATTTTTATCAGGAGGAAGCCATTTACATAATTTCACAAGCCATATATGTTCTGGATTATTTCATTGTGCTTTTTAAAAGAAAATCCGGTCATTTTTTGTTCACTCTCCTGCTGTTCAAAAATAATACGTTTATCTGTGAGACTAGAATTGTGCATTTTTTCACACAAAGAAAGTGAATGTTGACTTTCATTCTGTCAAACATTTCCTTCTGCGTTCTAGACTGACATACATGTTTTGTTTTTGATTTGCAACATCGTAAGTTAATAAACGATGACGATTTAAATATGAATTTTGGATGAACTGTCGCCGTTATAAATGTTGACATTTTCCGTAAAAAATAAACAACAGTTCTCATTTAGGATGGGCCGTTCTTTAATTAATGTTTTACCTCATGTTGTGTTTTATTTGACATTTCTTGTTTTGTGGGGCCTGCAGTCATTAGCTCGTTTAGCAGAAGCATCGCAACAGCTTCCCTAGCCAACAGGAAGCGAGCGAGACAAATTATTTTGCAAATGATCGTGCCCTAAATGGCCAGATAGACACCCTACACCCAGTAAAATGGGTGTACATATATAATATATATGTAAACTCATTGTGAAATTAATTGCGACTGCTTAAATCGGATAATATTACTAAGTTTTACGCCTAGCTAGCCGTCTCTGGAGCTGTTAGCAGTCTCGCGAGCTCATACACACAACAGCTCGAGCTTAAGCAATGAATGGCCGCGAGCGAGCCACTCTCATTTAGACTTCAGTTAGTACGGGAACGTTTGTCATTTCTTAATGCTTTTGATTCTATGTCCTAAATAGTAATGAAAAAGACACAGGCCCTCCACCATTTTTCACCGCGGTGAATGTATTTTTAACCCACCCATATTCGGGATACGACTGAATGTACCAAAACGGAAGTGGCTAACAAATACAGTGCCAAACGCTAAGCCATCTGTCGCTTCTCTTTGGCTGATAATTACAATGATATTTGAGGATTTTGTCGAGTTGCGATTAAAAAAGATAGAGTAAAAATGTGCGTGTGTGTCTCACTTCACGATTACCTTAATGATCCTGCGGGGCAACCCTGCCATCTTGTCTTGAATGCGGATTTTAGCTTTGACTCTCGGTGCTTCTTACTTCGTTTGCATTGACGGCGGAGACGCAGTGCACACACGCTTTCCGGCGCGTTGCGTCTAGACGCACGCGGAGACGTGCGCAATTGATGATGATGATGACGATTATGCGATTATGATATCGAAGTTGTAGTTTTATATTGAAGGAAAACTGTTTCATTCACCGAAAAACACACTTGATTGAATTTTTTAATACAGAAACCTTTTTTCCACGGGAAAAAAATATATCTATATATATATATAATTTTCTCTACTTTTCTCTTTACCTTTTTAAAGTTTAATGAAGGATGTTTAGGCTACTTGTGTAAAAACAATACAATTATATATAAATAGGCTAAGGTTGAACACTGCTATACAAATAACCACCACTCTCCTAAATGCAAAATAATGTTTATTATTAGTTTTATATAACTTTTTATTTGCTGTCTAGACATCATAACTTAATGACTTAAAACTTAATAGAAATATAAACATAAATCAAACCATATTTGATTTAGGTTGAAAAAATGTATTTATGAAGCACCTCCTCTCTCTCTCTCTCTCTCTCTCTCTCTCTCTCTCTCTCTCTCTCTCTCTCTCTCTCTCTCTCTCTCTCTCTCTCTCTCTCTCTCTCTCTCTCTCTCTCTCTCTCTCTCTCTCTCTCTCTCTCTCTCTCTCTCTCTCTCTCTCTCTCTCTCTCTCTCTCTCTCTCTCTCTCTCTCCTAATACCTCTTTTATTTGAACATGGGAGGCACTAGTTTTCGGTGAGAGTAGATGCCACACAGAATTAGCTTTTGGACCTCTTCACAGCGGTGTCCAAACTGAGATTTAAGAGACAAGGGAGCAGGTCTTCACAGAAATGAAGTTTCTGCAGATACTTAGACCAGGTATGAAAACTGTGTTTGCTTAAAAAAAAATTTCTTATTGTCTTTAAAGTATGATTTATGGTCAGATATTGTGTTAAAGTAATTGTAGACAACAATAACCTTTCTGCATTTTGTTGTTTGAATTTACAGTGCATTCTACAAAGTCATATTCATTTATATTGAATAACAGAACCTGTTTAATAACACCTGTTTAATATAGCAATTCCCTTGATTCACAAAAATGTTAAGATTGAGAGGCCAATTTTTATGTTATGCTCTACATGTATATATTAATAAGCATTCATATTAATTGATTTATGTTTAAAAGCATTTACATCTTAAATTGAAAAACTGAAATTTAGTCAGACTGTGAGAGTATTTAGACATTTTATTATCTAAAACAAACTCTTAACATTAAAGTTTTACTTTAATACTGACTTGTCCTGATAACTGATTAATAAATAAAAAATTTGTCTACTTTAATTATGTTTAGGGTGCACATGCACTGAAGTGTTAAAGGAGTATTTGTCATTATTATAATTACTTTACACTTACAAACAAGTATAAATAATAAGTGATAATGTAAAAAAGTATGTACAGAGGAACATCACATGATGATAATAATGTAGTTGTAGGAATTCTTGGCTAAAGCTTTCCTGAAGTCATTTAAGTCAAAGCGAGGGGAAATACTACCAGTGACTCCTTGTTCACTAATTGGCCCTTAATGTGTCTTATTGTGGTCTTCTTTCTTATCTGTTACTAACTGACCATGAAGTCTCCCATGGATCTGCACCCGTGACATGTTTCAATTCTCCCTCCCAAATATGCCTTTGTTCCAGCACATAGGAGCAGACGAACCAATGTCTAATCTATTGCCTTTTCCCGGTGCACACTGTGAACAGACAATGCCAGCTGAATTAGAGGGACTCCTGCTTCCACTGAGCACTTGATATGAACGGCAGAATCCATTCTGACAGCGCTAAACCTAACTTCCTAGCACGTTTATATGGCATTTTAACCAGTTCATTACACATTTAATATGCAGTGCAAGACTTTGATGTAGTTTTTTTTTCTTCGAGTGATTAAAAGTGAAGTGAGTTGGTATTCCTTAGGTGTCACACTTGTGAACAGGAGGCAAAAGGATAACTTTTTATGAAGGAATGTACTATATTTTGTTTTGATAATGTTTACTCTTTAATATTTTGTATTTTGAGGGGATTTTATTGAACTAGACAACACACCTCTAGATTATGCACATTTAGTTCTCCATAAAATATATATATTTATTTTGAATTGTTTAAGTTAAAAATAAAGCATAAGTTGCTTATAAAATATAATGCACGGAAGGCAGATTTGTGCAATCTGATGGGAGAATGAAAGAAAATCATGTCATATTATGGTGAAACTACTTGATGTCTGCAAATATATATTTGGCTGGGCATTCCCCAGATGTTTATAAGGGCATTTTTAGACATTACTTACTTTTATAAGGTTTCCCTTTTGGATATATACTTAGACAATATCAAATAGTACTTTAGCATGGCTGATTTGTAGACAGTACCACAGAAAAATTGCTTTGTATTTCCGTATTTTTTATATTTCCCATTCATTTCCTATGGCTGTCATTTTTAACTGAAAATCCCCCCAAAATGCATGGCAAATTGTTTTTATGACAATTTAGCCTTTTCTAATTGGATCCACATTTGTGTGTGTTCATATAGCGAGTGCCCCAAAAGGCACCAAGTTTCGTATAATTCCGATAAAGTGAGAAAAAAAAAATGTCAGGCTGACTGAAGACCACCAGAGTTAAAACATTCCATTTACACCCGTTAATCACAGAATTAAAAGAATTTAAGTAGGATGTTTGATTTTTAAGTACTAAACAACATTGAAGATGTCAATTTGTACCTTTGGTGCAAAATACATACACTGAAAACAAAAAAAATCCTGTTAAAAAAACGGTAAACTACTGGCATCTGTGGTACCGTAAAATGACAGTGTGTTACTGTTTTTGAAACTAACAGCTAAATACTGTGTTGTCAGTAAAAAAATTTAATTTTGTGTTATGCTCTAACACAAAAACAGTAACAGACCGTGTAGTTACGGTATGATGCTAGCAACCACAGCTGCCAGTAGTTTACCGTTTTTTACAGGATTATTTTTTACAGTGTAATGGCACACGACTCATATATTTTTGAATAATCACCTGTTATAGACCTTATGCACCAGAGAAACGTGGGCGCCGTCATCTTTAGAATATTGTCTTCGAACTTCCATTTTTGCCTATGGCATCGCTGTCGAGGAGTAATTAGCTGGTGAAGTGGATTTACTTATTGTAGTGTAAACAAAAGTTATCATGAGCATTGTAATGTTTATCATAAGCATTGAAAAGAAGATGTCTTAAAAAATGTCGACCGGGAAATTATTTACGAGCAGTTCATTCATACCTATGCAAGATCGCTGTGAAAATACAGACCAGAAGTCAAAAGGCAACGAGTGCAGCGATGAAAAGGGGCGGGGCTACATAAGGTCTTGATGACTATTTTTAATGTTTTCAACAGTGCCAAGTAGTGACATTGAAGACTTTTGTTAATGATGATGTATTTTTCTACAGCAGCTGGTGTGACGTTATGGAGACCAAGCAGTGGTGTGTCCTGTTTACTTGGGCTGGTCACATGTCTGGGCTGTGTAGGATCCCTCAACATCCCCCCAATGACTTCAGGCCCGCGCTCAGCCTTTTCCGCCACACGTAGCAGCAGCGTGTTGGGTGGCACTCAGCGGGTCGTGACCTTTGACCGCCTTCTCGTCAACATCGGTAATGACTTCAACCCAGATACAGGTGGTTTCCGATGCCGCCTGCCTGGTGCGTACTACTTCTCGTTCACCGTGGGAAAGTTTCCCAAGAAGATCCTGTCCGTCATGCTGGTGAAGAACGGGATGGAGGTGCAGGCCATGGCGTACGACGGATACCGGAACGAGGGTCGCAAGGTGCAGAGCCAGAGCGTGATGGTCAGCCTGAAGCCCATGGATACGGTCTACCTTCTGCTTCAGGAGAATCCCGACTACGCCATCTACAGCAACGTTGGACCCTACATCACATTTAGCGGTTATCTCGTCTACCCAGACTCCACGTCATCTGTTGGATATCTCAACAACCACCTATCTCCTCCAGGCCTTCATATTCCAGGTTGTCCTCCCCTTATAGATCCCCATTATGATTGGAGAAGGTCAACAACCATTGAGGAAGCACGTTCTGCGTTTTCAGTGGCAAGAACATCCTCAGTGCTGGGTGAAAGCAGACGACATCGGGAAAGAGAAGCTCTCACGTTTGACGTGGAATACGTTAACATAGGCGGTCACTTTAACAAAACTTCTGGACGTTTCATCTGCCACTTCCCCGGTGCGTACTTCTTCGCATTTACTGTGGGGAAACACCCTCGCCGGGCGTTGTCGGTGAAGCTGATGATGGGCAGAGGGGAGGTGCGGGCCATGGTGTTCGACGAGGACTTGTCGCGGAGGAGAGAGATGCAGAGCCAGAGTCTGCTGTTGTCGCTGAAAAGAGGAGACAGTGTCTGGCTGTACAGTCAGCAGGATGACGGATACGCCGTTTACAGCAACCAGGGACGTTACACAACATTCTCTGGATTCCTAGTCTATCCTTATGCCGATTCCATGAGCATAGACAGAAATTTCCCCTAAGAGCCAGTACTGAATTATTCATAGCTTCACCTTTAACCTTTTGGTTTTGTACTAAATTTGCTTTAACATAGTGCTATTGTTATGTGCTTTTTACACATTACAAATTATTATGTAAATATTGTATAATTATTTCAGGTAAGACTTAAAGAAACTTTTATGGCAAGAAACTTTCGTTAATGACATTAACAAACATTACATTGCATGTGGTTAGCAGATCACTAGTGAGTATTCGTCACATTTACATTTATTCATTTAGCTGACGCTTTTATCCGAAGCGACTTACAATTGCTATATATGTGAGAGGTCGCACGCCTCTGGAGCAACTAGGGGTGTTAAGTGTCTTGCTCAGGGACACATTGGTGTCTCACAGTGGAGACATGCGTCTTATCCACCGCACCATCACCACCCCTACGTTAAAATGGAATTCATATACAGTATATTCATGTTTGAATGTAAATGAACTTCTGATCTAAGCTTATCATATTTATTACCTTATTATTGAAAGTTGTTATAAAGGCTTCCCATTTTTGTATAATTGTTTAGAAAGATATGCTACTGTGACTCTCTCATATTGTTACAGGTAAAATGCTCTACATAGACACGGTGCTGATTTTTATTGTGCCATTGTATTTAATGTTGTTACAAGTATTAGAAAGTGTCCGAGATCTTTCTTATTGATATTTTGGATATAAACTAATCTAAATAAACTTTAACTTAACCATGTGTGTGGGGTTTTGTGTGTTTGGCCAACATTGTGAGGATCAATATCGTAAGTAGACAACCTAATAACTTAAATTGGCATTTAAACATTAACAAGTAAACTCTACCATCAGTCTTTCTATAATTAATGTATAGTATATATTTTTGTAATTTATTGCAACCCACATAAAACAATAAACTAATTCTACTTACAGGCATTTTTTTTTTTTTAAGAGACAGAAAAACACGTTAGCCTAGCTCTTATTATATCCAACAGGTGCCACAAAAGTCCCCATTTTCTCAGATGGTAAAGCCAATAAAAAATGCACACAAACTGAACTTCTATTTAATAACATTAAAACGTCTGGAGTCACAATGATAGACGATTTCAAAAGAGAATAGATCTTTTTTTTTTATTTAAATACACTCAACAGTAAATATGTACAAGGAAATCATTTAAAATATTTTTTAGGATTGTTAATTTAACAAGTAACATAATCGTCTTAAAAGGTAATGTTCATATATAGCCAAAGATTGCGGCAGAAATAATAATATTTAGCAAAAACAACCCAGTATCGTTGGTTGATTTTGATTAATCTGATTATTAGTTGGCATATCACACTCAATAAAAATCACTTATTCTCAGACATATTTTTTACTCTTTAAATTCTCCTTAAATAAATATTTCTTAATATGTTACATTAGTATCTACACTAGTAAACACAAATCCTTATACTGAAGTCAAAACAGAGGGGTTCTGAATGCATAAGGATGCATCTGGCTCAAGCATCTCATACTGGGGGTTTGAGACCTGGATCTGTGCAACCTATTGAAACATGGACATCGTTGATAATAAAATAAAATAAAATAAAATAAAATAAAACATTTAAAATGGCAATTTAGTGTGTGATCCATTGGCTCACCTGATGTGACTGCTTTCTACGAGCTTTAATTTCTGTATCAGCATACGCCACAAAATGGATTAATGTGTAGATTCTGAAACAAAAGAACATAACACACCATTACAAAAAATAAGAATAAAACGAATGATTTATGTTCAGACTTTAGACTGGTTTTTGATATATAATCTATTGTATGATCTCCACTTTGTGATTCAGTGAAACACTAAAACAAAAAGGTCTGTCAATTTGAACCATAAAAGAATCAGTGATAGTGATTTTATTCTTTTGTGCATGTTTAGTTACCTGTGGTATAGCATTGCAATAAATTGCACTATCAGCAATAATGCGAAGCTCAGTAGAAACATCAGTCCAATTGGATCAATGGAAAACACTTCTGTTTGGGATAGAGTCCCATTAGGATACATTTTTGGGATCTTTATGGAGACTGAGTCACCAATTGTCTCAAGGAAGAAGGTTGCCACTATCCAAAGTGCATTGCAGAAGAAAAAGGCAAATGTAACCTATATGAAAGAGAACAGCAAAACAGCATGGATCCAAAACTTTACTATTCCAGAGCATATAGACAAAACCACATAGAAAGTTGTTTTTGCATATTGACAAGCTTGCGAGGCTTACCTTATTTCGAAGTTCTCTTAGATCATTCACCATTTTTTCCTGTTGTTCTTTATTCTCTTTAAGAGGTTCTAGATATTTTTTTTGCAATTCTTCCCAGAATTTGATTTCATCCTGCATGTAGTGAAATAGTAAATTTATATTATGTGTATGCACTATGCACCAGCAACTGACATAAACCAAAACCCTGCTTTCTCCATTGAAAGCCATTCAAATGTAGCCATGTTTTATGGCCAAATAATAATAAACATAATTATTTTGCAAAAATAAATCAATTAAAAAATATATAAACCAATTAATATAATATAATATAATATAATATAATATAATATATAATTCTTCCAATTCATCTTACCTCTGTAAGTTCAGATTCATACAAGGGAAAGTCATCCGATTTCATCTGCAGATGTTCAATCCAAGCTTTTGGAATTAAATATATAACCATTTTAATTGTAATCTAATTCAATAAGTCAACAGCTAGAATATTAGGATATTAAGTATGGAATTCATACTTACTTTGATGAACATCTTTGATGGACTCCTCTGCCCTACATAGTAGGAATACAGTATTATTATTAGTGATGGCGATTATTATTAGATTTTTCAAATCTACTGTAGGCTATATAAAATATAAACTTTCTAAACAAGTGGATAGAAATGGGATGAAACAATTTGAATTTGTACATGTATGGTAGTTTTTTACCTTAGTGCTTCCAAAGGAATATGTGGCCTTTCAGTTTCTGTTATGGTTTCTGCACATACTTCTTCTTCAACAAGTATCCCCTTGATCAAATCTTCTTTAGATTCCAAACATGGACATTTGCAACATGTGGCATTCATGACCTTTTTCTTGATGGTATCGACTGCTGTAGTCTTAGCCTGGCCGCCGGTTTCACGAGTTCCCCACGTGACATTGTTCATGTTGACTATAGAGTAAATGGCTAAGAGTAAATACCCGCTGGGAATGCAGAGGAAGTATAACAACCCATAGATGACCAGTGAGAACTCCTGGGGGTGTAAAGCTGCCGTAATGATGTACAACGCCACCATGCCAATGAGGAACAGACCACTGGGGGTCAGAAAAGTTTTTTGCCTCACTAAATCCCCTATGAGAGTAGAGATGAGGAAATAAAGTAATGTGCAGTCTAAAAATATTGATGTTCTAAATAGTTTTTTAGACAGAGCTGTTACCTATGATGGAGAGAACTGATCCCGCCATGAGAAATGCGTAGAACACACTCATAATTGCTGCAATTTTAATCTGCATGTCAGATGTCAGTTTGAAGCATAAGATGAGATAGACAGTAGGGGGCACTATAGCCAAAGCAAGAGCAAGATTTTCACTCATTTCCCAAACGAACACAAAGCTTCCTGCAAGACAAAAACACTTTAATAGCCATTCAAAAACACTTATATTGGCCATAAAACAACACAATGAATCAAATTACTGTCAATTTTACTATGCAAGCAAAACCTTACCTGATATCATGAGACAGATGGTGGCAGGGCCTAAAATGGAAGCTGCCATGCTGACAATCTGGTACAAGATGTAAAGTTTTGAGATAGAGCTGTTCCTCTGAGAGGTCAGTCCTCCTGAGCCCAAGAGGTCGATGGTGTTGGCCATGGTGGAAGGTCCCCAGCGTCTGCGCTGGTTGTAGAACTCTTTAAAATCCTGAGGCGCATTGGTGTAGGCATCAGATGCTGCGTTATACTCAACCCTCCACCCCTGCTGCAGAAGCAGAGTGCATAACCAGCGGTCCTCACCTGACGTTACACCAAAAATGGGTGAATTTGTTTAGTCCAGGCTGAATTGAAATGGTTTGTCTTGTGGTTAGCTTCATGTAGACATTACCTTGATCATACTGGACGCAGTGGCTGGCTTCACTTGCTTTAGTTGTATACCTCTTCATGACGTTGTCGTCCATGAGTGCGGCTCCTCTGAAAAGACTGAAACATCCAGGGCTGCACAGTACACAGCCGAACACGTGCTCCGCAGTCTTTTGCAGCCAGTGGCCTACCGCATATTCAAACTTCTGATACCACACCATGGGCCCTTTAAGCATAATATCGTATTAGACAGTATTAGTTTAGAATCTAAGTAGTCGCAAGTGCAGTTTTCTTTAGAATAGATGAGTGGATCTCAGATGCCATGCTGATGGTCATCAAGCGGTGAAATAGTTAAACATCATACCATATTTAATGTTTACATTGTTTTCAAAGATTAGTGCATGTCTATATTTGCGACTAGTTTCTACCAAGTGATTATAGATATCGTAACTGGATTTATCCCTACAGACAATACAGCTTAGACATACTGTATTTGGTTATCTTGATTTTATTTCATTTTAAAAATGTAATTTATTAGGGCCCGAGCACCGATGGTGAGAGGACCTATTGATTTGCTCTGTTTATTCTTCTTCCTCTCTTAAAATAATCGCTTAGAGGGCCGAAACATGCTCGAAAACTCATGAAACTTTGTACATGCTTCAGAAGTGGTGAAAATTTACGTGTGATATGGTTTTAAAAAATGGGTGGGGCAAATTCTTTAAATTACTGCCCCCACATTTTGCCCCGGCTCTACCTTTCACGTAGAGGTATGAAATTTGGTACGTACATGTAATGACCCAATATCTATAAAAAAGTCTCTTGGAGCATAGCCCTAAACACAACAGGAAGTCAGCTATTTTGAACTTCCTCCTAGATTTTGTGCATTTTTCGCAATTTCCTGATGTTGTACTGTTGTACTGTTCAGTGTTGGGAGTAACGCATTACAAAAGTAATACATTACAGTAACATATTACTTTTTGCTGTAACGCAGTAGCATTACTAATCAATTTTCAGTAATATTTTACTCGTTACATGTTCAGTGAGGCTTGTATTACAGTTGTATTACAGTGTATTGTCTGCTTTTACTTCTTAAAGGCAACAGACTATGTGAAAGTTTTAAAGCAGTCTTTTAGTGCCAGTTCAGAGCGGTCGTGTGTGTAACATTGTTTTTTCCTCATAAATGCGAACACGCGATTCTGTAGGTTCGTGGATGTGGCGAATCGCGATTTCGGTTTCATATTGCATATCGTTACAGCCCAAACGTTAAGTTCTACTTAGTTATTTTGGTGAAAGTAACTCAAAAGTAATACATGAGTAATGTAACGCATTACAATTCTGGGACAGTAATATTGTAATGTAATGAATTACTTTTAAATAACAGTAACAAGTAATACCTAATGTATTACAGTTTGGAAGTAACTTGCTGGTACTGTTGTACTACAGTTTTGATCTGATCCTCTTCAAATTTGGTGAGTGTAATCTTAAGGTGTTTGCGATGTTAAATTGCAAAGATCTTGAGTTTTCGTCGAAGGATGTGCCCTTGGCAGCCTGATTTCAGCCTTTTGGTGATTTGTGCATGAATATGTCATATAGTTCAATATTGCTTGCAGTTCCGATGTTGCAAGGCAACCACAGACAGCCTGCAGTATTTATTATCATTACATACTGCCCACCGTTCTCTGTCTTCCTAAAACCACCGGTTGGCTCTTTTCATCACTGCTTGCAGCTTTAATTTATTTTGATTCTCTAATTTATTTATTTTTTTTGATTGAATTTATTTTGAATAAATTTCATTTATTAGTAGTGGTTTTATCTGGTTGATTATTATTCACACTTCCTTTGCCTCATACTTTGAAAAGCATTCTAGAATGTGCACTGTAGTTTACAAGTTTGCGTTCAAGGAAGATTGAATGAAACATTTTTTTTCAGGATTCTTTGATAAAAAAAATATAACAGCTTTTTTTTCAAATAGAAATCTTTTGTAACATTATAAATGTCTTTACTGTCACTTATGTCAAATGAATGTGCCCTTGTTGAAAAAAAAATATATATATATATATATACAGTATATATATAAAATCTTACTGAACTAAAACTTTTGAATTGCAGAGTATTCCAGATATTTAGAACATTTGAATCAAAAACAATAAAATGACCTGATAACAATGGTTTATAGCTACTCAATAAATATCCAACCTGTGCCTGTTGGATGAATCCTGCCACAGGCAGCCCCAACCTCCGGGTAGAGTTTCAGTCTGTCAATTAACAGCATGACGGCGGACGGCTGGAAATCAGTATCCCCATCCAGAGCCAAGATATACGTGTTCTCCTTTTCTCTCTGATGAGAATTAAAAACAATCAGAGTCTAGATTACATTGTATTATTCTCTAGAAATACTAGTGGTGAATTTTAAAGTTAAGCATCTAACCTTCAGTTTCTCCTTAAGGCCATCCAGTTCTTCTCCTCCCTTAAACTTTTGGAAGTACTGTCTGTTAAGTCTCCAACCAAAAATGTAATACAAGTACATTATCTGCAAAAACAGATGATTAGTGAAGTTCTGGGTGTAAAACATCTGTACCTGTGTGTTTAGCTGCATGACCCTTACCTGAGACCACCTTTTTTTGTGACGAATAAGTTTCTTGTCTTTCATATGAACCATCATCACATTGCCTTTAGGAAGGATGTATTCCAGACGACCTCCATAGGGGGTGTTTATAATCTTCTGACATGGTAGTGGTGCCGTTTGCTTAAATATACACGGATCCTCCTCACTAAAAATGCTAATTAATGTGAAGTATATTAGATTAGTTTTTCCCATAAATTCTCAGTAACCATAAACCGATCAAAATAAAGAAGAATCTTACGTGTAAACTTCTTTAATTACATCCACAATAATTTCAGCGTATTCATTTGCCTGCCGCTGTTTTCCATTATCAGCATCCGTGAAAGCGTCATCAAAATAAATATGAAATTCAAACTCGACATCGCTTTGTTTGTCGGTCTTGGGCCTGTATTTGTCGAGCCTGGTAGTAAAAGAAATAGTATAAGTAGCCTATAATTAAATTGAGACTGAATGCGTAAGTCTAGCCTATGTTTACCTGAACATAGAGATGATTATCTTCATCATTTCATCGTAGGTCTCATGCCACATCGTTGCACACAGAAACACTCTGCACTTTTCTTTTGTGCTGAGGAAATCCAAAGGAAAATTGTAATTAGTTGCTCTCAGATACATATCATTTAATTACTAACATTTGTAAAATTAGAAGCAAGTGATTGTTATTGACATACAGTAAAAGTACAAAGGCAAAGCGACAAAATTACAGTGCGTGATAAATCTGATAAGACGTTTTTGTGTTCATATTAAAATTCTTTCTTTTTATTCGAGCAATTCGGGTTTTATTGCAAACTTTGGTATTTTGGCAAGTGTACAGTCTGAGATGCTGAACTATCTTTTTGTCAGACTAAACTTTGAGAAGCGAGACTTTAGAAAAACTCAATTTGCTCTCATTTTAATTTCACTGATGTCTTCACAATAAAACTCATTTGTATATTTTAATGGAAACACACTTGCTATGTAAAATGCTTTGATTAAGATAAGTTTGTCTAATTATATTAAAAATAAAGCACTACGAAGTAAAAATTTTTGCAATAACAAGTGACTAGTGACTATGCATCACAACATTACAGTATGAAAATGATTTAATTAGGCTACTTTGCATTTAACAGTGTTATTAAATAATTAGTGTTTACAGATGGACATGAAGTAAGAATCAGATAATATAAATGTAAAAAACAATGAGAATGCTCCATTAAATATTCAACACCGATACAGGTCATTTAAAAATCTCTAATACTGGCTGATACAATATGCAACCATACTTAGAAAGTTGAAACACTTACAGTTTCTCCTTGATTCTCTTTCTGATTTCAAAACGGGTGTTCAGCAACATGGACTGTTCCAGAAACGCTCCTTCATACATGCGTCGCACGAACAGATCTTGGGTTCTTTCTATTCGATGGATCTTCAGGAACCAGATGTAAAATGTACTGAGCATGAGTCCCAACCACCAGCTCAGAGCAGAGCAGATCAAACACGCCAGTCCTCCTGTTCTCATGTTTTCCACAATGTCCCTGCTATGTAGAGTTTTTGTAGCATCCGCCAACATCAACAACAACAATGTACCATTGTATTTCAACTGAACGTTCCCTACACAAGTAGAATTTTGATTAGACTCTGGGAGTTTAAATGCAAGTGGAATCAAAAAAACTGCCAAAACTGCAATCGAGGCCATGTATATGGGCAAGGCGAAGCTGCGATGCAGGGCGTGCATCTTGCAAGCCACAACAATAAACCAGCGGCACACCGCAGAGGATAAAATCTGGAGAACCACCAATGAAACAATGACTGTTTCGAAGACGTATATGACCGATTTCCAGTTCTGACGAGACAGACCAACATAAGCTGCAAACACAGCTGAAGTAATCAGGATTCTCATCAAACTGGAGATGATGCACACCACATTACGGGACTGAGCAATGTCTTTGGAAATGTCATGTAGAGATGAGATGGAGAAGAGCGTGCTGTAGTTTTCCCACCAGTTCACAGAAACCAAGATGGTCCCCACGATGGCAAGGCCAATTGGTATTCTCATCTCAGGGGAACGTTCGATTACCAGATAATTGACGGCAAAAAGCACATAACCTAGGACGATTAAGAAAATGGAGCATACGGGGAGCATTATAAGGCGCTTCTTCTCTTTGGCGAGGCAATCAGCGACTACCTGGAACACTGCTGACAGGATGCTCACACTGTTTAGGATCATCACATTAGTGACAATGTCGAAGTGTGGCATGGCTACTATTGTAAGAATTGCAGATCCCAATGCTACCAGGAACTCAACACACAGGACCTAGAGCAAAGATCAAACCAAAGTCAGAAAGGTTACTGCCTTAACATTCAGTTTCACTGCTACTATAGATCTGTTGAACAAAAACTTTGTTTGCTTACCCAAAAAACAGTTTTTTTAGAGGGCATGGCTGCACTCTTGAAAATGAACTTCCATGTGCTTTTTAGCAAAAGAAGAACACTCGGCCCAACCAGAACAAATCCAATGCCAAGTAGGGCGGCCGGCTTCTTTTCTGAACATATAATATCGGTTTTATTGTTCCCAAATGTTATCAGAAGCAAAAATGATGTCTGTAAAGAAAAAGAAAATAGTTTTAGAAAAACCGAGCTTTTGTGTAATACTTAATAGACGAGTTAATTGTTATCATCTATCCTATCATCCAAAAATGATTAGCAAATGATTAATAAAGCAGCTCACTTTACTGAGCAGCGCAAGGGCAAAGACAAGTATGCCAACAATGGCACATGAGAACCATTTCAAACAGTGCACTCGTTTCTTTGGTATCTGCTCGTTTTGAATGATCGGCACTTCTCTGCACGCATCCCAAGATCGCCTGTTTGGGAAGAAAAAAAAAGGGAATAGCTTAATTGAAAATTTAAAGTTCACTTAAATGAGAAATATAAAAGATCAATACAAAAAATCTTGGTATTTATCATGCTAGACAGATTAAAGGAATACATGCCACACTGTAAAAAAATATTGTTGGTTTAACTTAAAAAAAATAAGTAACCTGGTTGCCTTAATATTTTAAGTTCATTGAAATAGAAAAATTGAGTTAATAAAACGAAAGAGATTAATTTAATCACATAAACTCAAAATATTATGTTATCTGAACTACATAAATTATCTTGATTTGACAAAAGAAAAAATGTTGTGATTACAAATCATGAAATATTTTTTACAGTGGCAGGAGGTAAATAATAAAGAAATCAATTTGGCAGAAAGTGAAATAATTCAAATTAATTAAATAAATGTTAGTGGAGATCTAAATTTGAATTATTTAATATAAGTTTAATAAATGAAAATCAAAAAATTATTACCTGAATTCATGGCTCTGCTGCTTTTCCATAGTGATGTTTGCAAGGCAGCACAAACCTTTGATTAACCATTTATAGCAGTCCAGAGCCTTATGACCAGATGGGAGGGACCACTACGCTTTTATTCAAACGGGTTTATGCAGTAATATATATATCTTTACACAGAAATCATCTGTCACGTTCATTTGAATTTTCCACTCCCTTTGATGATGAAAAGAGTTTCTCAAGTATTTTAAGCGAATTACCAGATATACTACTCCATGGTTAAACAAGTGTTCTAAATCCCTTCTAATGAACGGATTATACTATGATACACAATTGTAATGGATTGTGGATTGTAATTCCACACTATACAGCGAGATTCTAGAGAATTCTCTGCTTTCAACGAATGGCATTAGTTTTGGGGGTAATGCTCATGCACACAATATGCATAAGTGAATGGTGTCTGTGCGAAAGAACTACAGCAAACAAAGACCAAATGAGCATATGCAAAGAACATATAACTGTCGATATGCAAGATACACAGCCAAATTAAAACAACTGAAAGTGAATAACATTGATTATATCGTTACAATGGCATCTGTCAAGGTGTGGGAGATATTCAGCAACTAGTGAACTGGTGGATGCAGGAAAAATGGGTGTCACGGTTGGTAAATCCTATGTCTTCTTCTCGTCTCGTGTTTCTGTTATTGTTGTGTGTGTGTGCGCTGATGGGGGGGCGTGCCGCTCTATCAGCGCTCATCAGCAATCATCACCACCAGCTGCAGTTAATCTTCTTGTGTATATATTCTCATCAACTTCTCATCTCCTTTGTCAGATCGTTGTTTGTGGTTCCCGGTGTGTTGTCTCCTGTCTCGCTAATTCGTGTTCAGCTCTGGCCCTTGTTCTCTGTCATTTGGATTTGTTCATCGTTGGATTCACCACCACCATCACCACAGCACCCTGCACCGGACCATCGGATCCCCTGCGTCACTATTTCTGCCTGTTAATGGACTGTCTGTGTGTGTTCGTCAAGCTTATAATTAAATAGAGTTTAACTGCACTTGCTTCCTTGATTCTATCATGACAGAACGATCTGACCAAAGCATGGAAGCAGCGGAAGACTCGCAACGATCACTGAACGAGTTTGTGGGAAGCTGTCTACAACGGATGGACACACAGGAGAAGAACCTCAACGACACAGCTCGCGCTGTACAGGCATTAGTGACGCAGGTGTCTGGGCTCACCCAACAGATTCAACACCTTCGTCTTCCCACTGCGCCACCCGCACCGCTGAATCCTCCAACACCACCACCAGCGGACCCATCCCAGTCAGAGCCGCGCCTTCCTACTCCAGAGCCTTATGCAGGTGAAGAGAACTTTTGTCGAGCATTTCTGACCAGATGTACTATGCATTTTTCCCTGCAACCCAGGACGTTCCGCGAGGAGGCAACCAAGGTGGCGTTCGTATTGACGCTTCTGACTGGGAGAGCGGCGCTATGGGGGGCAGCGGTGTGGGAGAGCCAAGACGACTGCTGTTCCTCGTTCCAGAAACTCTCCGACGAGATGCGGCGAGTGTTTGATCGGGCCGCATCAGGAAGAGAGGCTGCCAGGGTGTTGACGGAACTGCGTCAGGGTGACAGATCAGTATCAGACTTTTCCATCGAGTTCCGAACCCTGGCAGCCGAGAGCAAATGGAACGAGGAGGCGCAGTGGGACATGTTCCTGCATGGGTTGGCTGACCGCATCCAGAAGGAGATCTACGCCCTGGACCTGCCCACCAAGCTAAATGATCTCATCGCGTTGGCGTTAAGAGTGGATGCACGTCTTTCTCGAGTCAAGAGCCGAGGTCAACACGATCGTTTCTCTGGAGGCATCGAGGGGCAGCGTTCAGGAGGCGAGGGAGCGGTCAGCCCTACCTACGATCACGAGCCCATGCAGGTGGGTCGAGCCCGGCTTTCCCGGGAGGAGAAGGAGAGGCGGAGATCCCTGGGCCTTTGTCTGTACTGTGGGGAGCGGGACATTTGGCGTTTCATTGTCCGTTAAAAGGTCCAGCCCGACAGTAAGAATGAGGCTACTGTCGGGTGGGATCTCTGCCGAGAAGACCTCATCGACATCTACCTTCCTCCCGGTAAGGCTCCGATGGTCAACTCACCTCCACGATTGTCGAGCACTACTGGACTCTGGGGCGGAAGGTAATTTCATGGACCATTCATTTGCTAAGAAACTTCATATTCCCCTCAAACCCCTCGCACACCAGATTCATGTACACGCTCTCAACGGCCAAAGACTCCCCACTATCTCATGGATCACTGAAGACATCACCCTCATCACGTCAGGCAATCACTCGGAGACTATTTCCTTTTACATTCTGGACACTCCACTAGCCCCTATCGTTCTTGGTCACCCATGGCTCACCCGTCACAACCCCAAAATAGACTGGCAATTCAAATCAGTAGCATCATGGAGCAGTTTTTGTCATAAGTCTTGTCTTGTGTCTGCTTGTCCGTCTGTCTCTTCTCGTGTGTTACAGGAGGAAACAGTGGATTTATCAAACGTGCCCACGGAGTATCGGGAGCTGAAGGAAGTGTTCAGTAAGTCTCGGGCTGATTCTCTTCCTCCGCATCGTCCCTATGACTGTGCTATAGACTTATTGCCAGGTACGTCTCCGCCTAAGGGCAAATTATATTCACTCTCAGTCCCTGAGAGAGAGGTCATGGAGAAATATATTTCTGATTCTCTAGCAACGGGATTCATCCGCCCTTCCTCATCTCCAGCGGGGGCGGGGTTCTTTTTTGTGGGGAAGAAGGATGGATCGTTGCGACCTTGTATTGATTACCGGGGGCTGAACAACATCACGGTGAAGAATACTTATCCTTTGCCGTTGATGTCTTCAGCTTTCGAGAGGTTGCAAGGAGCATCCATTTTCACAAAACTGGATTTAAGGAATGCTTATCATTTGGTCCGCATCAGGGAGGGGGATGAATGGAAGACTGCATTTAACACCCCTAGGGGGCACTTTGAATATTTGGTCATGCCTTTCGGCTTGTCCAATAGCCCAGCGGTCTTCCAGGCACTTGTCAATGACGTGTTGCGAGACATGGTCGACCAATTCATTTATGTCTACCTGGATGACATATTGATTTTTTCTTCGTCTCTCCAGGAACATGTGCAACACGTTCGACAAGTGCTTCAGAGGTTGTTAGAGAATGGGCTTTTTGTCAAGGCGGAGAAATGCGTTTTTCATGCACAGTCTGTTCCCTTTCTAGGTCACATCATCTCGGTTGACGGAGTGCGCATGGATCCCGACAAGGTTAAGGCTGTGGTAGATTGGCCAAGTCCAGATTCCCGTAAGGCCCTACTGAGGTTTCTGGGGTTCGCCAATTTTTACCGGCGTTTTATTCGCAACTTCAGCCGCCTGGCCGCGCCTCTGACTGCCTTGACCTCCCCCAGAACGACGTTCAGGTGGTCAGACGCAGCGGAAGCTGCGTTTGCCAAACTGAAGGGGCGCTTTGTTTCGGCCCCCATCCTGATAACCCCTGATCCATCACGTCAGTTCGTGGTGGAGGTCGACGCGTCAGAGGTGGGGGTAGGTGCGGTGTTATCTCAGCGCTCTCCTTCAGACGAGAAGATGCATCCTTGCGCGTTTTTTTCGCACCGTTTATCCCCCGCTGAAAGTAATTATGACATTGGCAACAGAGAATTGTTGGCGGTCAAGTTAGCGTTGGAGGAGTGGCGTCACTGGTTAGAAGGGTCGGGGGTACCTTTTATCGTCTGGACCGACCACAAGAATCTGGAATACATTCGCACTGCTAAAAGACTCAATTCAAGGCAGGCTCGGTGGGCTCTTTTTTTCGGACGTTTTGACTTTACACTCTCGTACCGCCCGGGTTCCAAAAACATCAAACCCGATTCTTTATCGCGCATTTTTGACCGTTCCGATCGCCCGTCTACTCCCGAGTGCATTTTACCAGAGAATCTATTCATCTCTACACTCACATGGGAGGTCGAATCGAAGGTCAAGAAGGCCTTAGAAGGGGTAACGCCTCCGACTCGTTGCCCACCGAACCGTTTGTTCATGCCGGAGAGTTTACGGTCCAGCGTCATCCAGTGGGGTCATTGTTCCAATGTGGCTTGTCATCCAGGAGTCAGTCGTACCATGTTTTTGGTTAAGCAACGATTCTGGTGGCCTCTCATGTCTCGTGACGTTCGAAGTTTTGTATTGGCTTGTTCAGTTTGTGCCACAGGCAAGACTTCCAATCGACCCCCAGATGGGTTGCTTCAACCGCTGCCGGTGCCTTCGAGACCCTGGTCCCACATCGCGCTAGATTTTATCACCGCCCTCCCACCCTCCCAGGGTCACACGGTAGTTTTGACCGTGGTGGACCGATTCTCGAAGGCGGCCCATTTTATTCCCTTGCCCAAATTACCTTCAGCCAAGGAAACAGCGGTGAGTGTCATTGACCACGTCTTTCGGCTTCATGGCCTCCCGACAGACGTGGTCTCTGACAGAGGACCCCAATTTGTGTCCAAATTTTGGCGAGAGTTTTGTAGACTGCTGGGGGCGACTGTCAGTCTCTCATCTGGGTTCCATCCCCAGAGCAATGGTCAAACTGAACGAGCCAACCAGGATTTGGAGAGAACGTTGCGATGTTTAGTGTCCAAGAATCCCTCTTCCTGGAGCCAGCAGTTGTCTATGGTGGAGTACGCCCACAACACGTTGCCAGTGTCATCCACGGGCCTATCACCATTTAAGTGTAGTGTAGGTTACCAGCCACCTATCTTTCCTAGTCTGGAATCCGAAGTCGCGGTCCCCTCCGCCCACGCCTTCGTCCAGCGGTGTCGCCGCACTTGGACTAGAGCCCGTGAGACTCTACTCCAAGTGGGGGCGCGCACCAAGGTCAAAGCCGATCGCCACCGGCGGAGACCTCCCGTATACGTCGTCGGTTCTAAAGTGTGGCTTTCAACTAAGGACATTCCACTCCGTTCCATTTCGAATAAACTTGCACCCAAATTCATTGGCCCGTTTGCTGTCACCAAAATCATTAGTCCGGTGACAGTCCGTCTGAATCTTCCTCCAGTGTACAGGAGGATTCATCCCGTTTTTCACGTTTCCAAAGTCAAACCTGTCTTTTATGCTCGCATTAATCCGCCAGTCCCGGTTCCCCCCCCGCCGCGTCTCGTAGATGGGGAACCCTCTTATTCGGTCAATCGCGTGCTGGACTCGAGACGGAGGGGGCGCGGATTCCAGTACCTGGTGGACTGGGAAGGTTACGGTCCGGAGGAGAGAAGTTGGGTACCGGCCAGAGACATCCTGGATCACTCCCTTATCGATGATTACAATCGGCAGGTAAGGGAGTCTGGGAACGCCAGGAGGCGTTCCTAGGGAAGGGGGTACTGTCACGGTTGGTAAATCCTATGTCTTCTTCTCGTCTCGTGTTTCTGTTATTGTTGTGTGTGTGTGCGCTGATGGGGGGGCGTGCCGCTCTATCAGCGCTCATCAGCAATCATCACCACCAGCTGCAGTTAATCTTCTTGTGTATATATTCTCATCAACTTCTCATCTCCTTTG